AAATGTCCCCATTCAAACTCTACAGGCTGAGTTTGTCTAGCTTTATTGGCCTATGAATCACAGCAATAGCAACTCCCTACAGAGCTTGAGTGATGCAAGACTTTGAGGCCTCTCAAAGTCACACCCAGAAATTTCACCCCAGGCAGTGTGTGACTCACAACGTGCCACAGACAGGTAGCCCCTGCCGTGTTCTTTTCCTGCTCTGGCCACCCGTATGCTCCACATTTACGCTTCCTTTCCTGCTGAGGCCACCACTCCTGTCCATGCCCTCCATGAATACCACAATATCCTTTCCCTGAGAACCCAAGGCTCAACCCTCAAGGTGTCAGAACTGTAGCCCCTGGAGCCCTCAAGTCAGATCCTAGGTTAGCCTCCATCTAGACACTGCTCTCAGCTGAGTGACTTGGATCTCAGTCACTTGGAGCTCAGCTGAGAGGGCATCTGCTCTCTTTCTTTTTTTTAAATGATTTTTTAAATGTTTTTTATTTATTTCTAGGAGAGAGAGAGAGAGACAGCGTGAGCAGGGGAGGGTCAGAGAGAGAGGGAGTCACAGACTGAAACAGGCTCCAGGCTCCGAGCTGGCAGTCAGCACAGAGCCCGACGCGGGGCTCGAACCCATGAACTGCGAGATCATGACCTAAGCGAAAGTCGGACGCTTAACCGACTAAGCCACCCAGGCGCCCCCATCTGCTCTCTTTCTACAGGCTCAGACCAGAGTCCTTCCCATTCTCCTGCCCCTGACCCACCCCCAGAAGCACTTTTGACAATTTACTCATGCAGATGGATAGCCAAGAGCTGTTTTCCCAGCTGGCTCATCAGAGGTACTCAGAAATATTCTCATCTTGCTGGTGGAAAGAGTTTAGGTTCAAACCAGGAATCTCACTGCATTCTCTTTAAGAACCTCAGACTCAGCACAAACCTTTATAAACTCTTTTCTGTCTCAGGCTAAATAAACTCCCTGTCCTCTGTAACAACCATGGTTGTACAGTTAATTTGGTAATTAATCATGGATTTCCTTGTGTTAACTTTTCTGTTCTTTCCTTAAATTGGTGTTAAAAGTATTATTGTACCAGAAAAAAGTATTTTAAAGGAATACCTTTGTAGGCACCTGGGTGGCTCAGTTGGTTGAACTTCAGATTTCAGCTCAGGTCAGGATCTCGTGGTTCATGGGTTTGAGCCCTGCATTGGGCTCTGCGCTGACAGATTCTGAGTCTCCCCCTCTCTCTCTGTCCCTCCCCAACTCTCTCTGTTTCTCTCAGAAATAAACATCAAAAGTTTTTTTTAAAAAATAAAGGACTACCTTTGTGATTCTGAGGATATTGAGCCAAAAAATGTAAAATCAAGAAAGATAGTCCCCTTGCCTATCAACCCTTAAGAAACTAGGTATAGCTTAAATAATCAAAATGTATTTGTGTTTCATGTTTATGTCTTACTTCATCACATAAGGACCATGGTTTTGTATTTTGTAATCACGTGTTGTATTTGTAACCATGACTGATACTCTGTAGGCTCTCAAATACTAGCTGGTTCTTTCATTTTAGAGAGGTTTAAGGTCATTATTTATACCTTAAGAGAGCAGGAGAAAAAAGACAAAGTAAAACAAGACAGAAGAAATTACACAAAATAAAAATTTTTAAGAAGGAATAACCATGGAAGAAAGTTTACTTCAGCATTTTAATGATGGGATAAAAGGTTCCCAAAGAAATCTCCCATCTTACAGGCATTGCTTTAAATGTGCATATTGAGTATCTCATTCTCCCATTCCACTAATATATATATTAAGGACCTACTGTGTATTAAACAGACTTCCAACAATACAGACAACATCCCTGTCCTCCAGAAATTTCCAGTTTAGTGTAGAGAGGCAGAGACTGAAATAGATCATTTCAGTCTATGATAAATACCAGAAAGAAAATAGAATGGGGAGTAAAGGTGTATCTCTGTTAGGTTAAATGGCCAATGAAGCCTTCTGAGGAAGTGATATTTGGGCTGAAACCAATAGGCACCACCTACACGCAGTCGCGCAGGTTGTGCACTGCATATGAACTCCCTTTACATGGACAGTAAAGGTGTCCCCTAGATTTGTGTGGTGCCGTAGTTCTTAATGTTCCAAGCATGGGTATGTCAATTCACTTGTATAATTAATTTACTTTGCTCAAGTAGATTTGCATATCCATCAACATGCACTCAGTCCATCTGGATACAATGGCAATCATGGGAACCATGTGATGATTCAGGAAAAGGACCCCCGGCAAATTGCAGGCTATAGTTGATCAGCTTATGACTATATGTTCTCGACTTAAGGAGACATGGGAGATGAGCCTAGAAACTGACAGACTTTAAGTGAGAAAAGCTTGAGATTATTTTTGGAACCAATCCACTGTCTACTCCTCTAGTCATAATGCCAGGAAAAGGAAATATGAGTAATTGCTGTCCAAGCCTAAAGCTAGTTTTCATGGTGAGAAATCCTCCCGCTTCAGGAATGATCAAATGTGGGGTTTTGAAAATAGTTTTTATAATTACAGACTATACTATCAAAGGCATGCCACCCAATTAACCATTTGCTACATGGCATGGTGATATTCTATAATGATAGGTTAATGGATTCCATGCTTAATAAAAAACAGGAGACCAGCAGACTTCTAGTAAAGACAACTCTAACTCTGTGCTGGCCACAGGTCTCCTGGTTAACTGTCCTGAAAAGCACATGTATAAAAAACCTTTGGGATCCCAAACTGGTTTAATGGGTTTCACAGAAGGTGTTCAAAGGTAGCTTTCCCATCAATTTAGAAATGGAGTCTTAAATAGAGGTCACACATTGACCTCCGTGCATTCCAGAAGTGAGACATCCAGGAACTGACCCCTGTTCCCTGAACCTCTCAGCTGATTCTACTTCCTCTGAACCGTGCTAATCGGTGTTTGAATCTGTCCAAGTCACTTCTGAAAAGGAAGTTCCAGTCACTCCTCCCCCCATAGTCTGGCGTGTAGAGCCTGACTGGAGTCCAAGAGGGAGGGAAGCTGGCAGAAACGCAGGGCAGAAGTAGTGCTCCTGGGGAGGTGCTAAAAATAGAGTCCTGCCTAAACAGGGGAAGGGAAAATGCTGGCCAGGTTTGGCAGGTGGCATTATTCAGGGACTTCCAATTGTTGGAAGCAGGATGGAGGTAGCCATCTACCAGTGCCAGGTGGAGCAAGGTTATTCTGGGATATCCGATTCAAAATAGGTGCAAAGACAGGTCAAGGCACAAGACCTAAACAATGAGGGTTGAAGGACAGGCCATAGGCTCCAGATAGCTACCTAGAGCATGCTTTACAAATTCACTGTGCATTTGAATTGTCTGGAATCTGGCTAAAAATGCAGATTCAGATTCAGTAGGTCTGGGGCTCTACATTTCATTTTTTAAAATTTACTTCTTTATTTTGAGGGGGGGGGGGAGAGGAGAGAGAATCCCAAGCAGGCTCTGCACTGTCAGCACTGAGACTAATGTGGGATTTGAACTCAGGAACCATGAGATCATGACCTGAACCGAAATCAAGAGTTGGATGCTCACCCAACTGAGCCACCCAGGCACCCCAAAGGGTTCTGCATTTCTAATGAACTCTCAGGTGATACTGATGTAGCTGGTTCATGTATCACATTTTAAACATCAAGAGGCTAATGTACTGGGCAAGATCCATCCCCTTCTTCTAACCATCATGGGGCCAGGAGAAATAGGGATGTCTTGTACTCTAGGTTAGGCAATAATATCACTGCTACCCAGTAACAGTGCTGACACTAGCCTATGGACTGGGAGCAGTCAAAGCCCTCTATTCATTTCAGGGCAGGGGCTAAGCAACTGGCTACAGGATGGGGTTCAGAGCAGCAAGAAGGAAACTGAATCACTGGATATAAGAAAATTAATTGGAAACAAAGAGGGGTCATATCTGGCAAATCAAAGGGAGAGGCTTAAATCTTTGTACTTTTTTAAATACCTCATTAAAGGATCGCTCCCCACCCCCATTGTGGTCAGTGCTCTGACTCAATGAGTTCCCTCTGCAGAGTGGAAGTTGGAGAACATTGAACAGACACTGACCCAGACTGGAGGGCGGGGTTTAGGAGTTACTGCTCTCTCACTTGCCTTCTAGGAAAATGTAAAGGGAAGATCTCCTCCTGGGACACTTTCCTGGGTTCTAAATTGGGTGCTACAATGGTTAGTTTAACATGTCAAGTTTGGCTAGACTCTTGCACCCAGCTGTACAGTTAAACTCTAGTGTAGGTGTTGCTGCATTTTGTAGATGTGGTTAATATCTGCAGTCAGCTGACTTTACATAAAGGAAGTCATTCTTGATAATCTGGGTGGGCTTCATCCAATCACTCGATGGGCCTTAAAAGCAAAACTGAAGTTTCCCCGAAGAAGTCGACATTCCACCTGTTAAATACAGTTTTGGCTTCTTCTCCAGAGTTTCCAGCCTGCTGGCCTGCCCTACAGATTTCAGACTTGCCAGTCCCCACAAGCATGTACACCAATTCCTTGCAATAAATCTTGCTACATATACAGTCACTCCTCATTATTCACGGGATTCTCAATTTGTGAATTTGCCTGCTTTGTAACCCCCAAATCAGTACTGGCAGTGTGTGTGCAGTCATTCACAGATAGGAGCAGAGTGACAAAAAATTTAAGTCACATACTGCATGTTTCCGGCTAAGGTTGAAGTGACTGCCTTCCTGTTTAGCTCTCATAACTGTCAACAAGTGTCCCTTCTGTGATCTATTCAGTGCCATGATTTTCACATGTTTGTGCTTCTTTTTGGCAGTTTAGCTGTTTAAAATGGCCTCTAAGCATGGTGCTAAAGTGCTGTCTAGTATTCTTAACACCAGAAGGCTGCGATGCGGCTTACAAGAACGTGCACATACTAGATGAGCTTCACGTACGTATGAGTTATAGCATTGTTGGCTGCAAGTTCAGTGGTAATGAACTAACAATATACACTGAATAAGATGCCTTTACAGAGAAACACAGATAAAACAAGGTCATATTTTGATTGGTTGATGAAATGTTGCGACCAGGGGCTCACGGGAACCTAACTCTGCATTTCCCCCTAGGAGCAATGGCTCAGTATGTGCTAATTCCATGTCTGTGGCGACTTGCTGGAATATTACTGTGAAGAATAAGAACAGACTGTTGCGGGGATGAGAGGGGATGCTCTCTCTGGAGGTACCTAACTGGTGCAGATGTAGGACTCCCCTTTCCTCCAGGGCTTACTGTGCCCATCACAGATAGTGCGGGTCTTCTGTCCTTTCTGTGTTCAGATCCTTGGCCCGATTCTGCAGGAGGGGGAAAGAGGCCCACATATAAAACATCAGGAAATGTTAATAGTCCCCTGTTAAAAGCAAAGTTTTTCTCTTACTAGTTCATATTTAGGAACACAAAATATATGCAGGCCCTGTAATTTGGTATTACTCCATCTCCCTGATACAGTAAGCAATAGGCTAGACTAGGTAATAACTGGAATATAGTTCAGCATTTTTAATGTAATTTGGATGATGAGCCCCAAATTACTTTTCCAATGTAAACCAATCAAGTATATTCCAGTTTGAACGTCTTTACCAAAAATAAACTTCTTTATGAATGTATAAAAAGATAATTAGACTGTCTCCAAGGCATTAGGCCTGTTCCCCAAGGCAGAGAGAAACCAGTATGTCTCAGGGTAAAATGAAGGCCCCGATCCAGCAACCCCACCACTCTTCCTCTCCCCATCTCAGTGGTCAGTTTTAGTCTTCTGAGAGGCAGAGGCTGTGGTTATGATTCCATCTTGCCAAGTCCATGGCTGCAGGCTCTATTCCTAATTCCAAATTTGGCATCTTCCTTGTTGCGCTGTCTGTCACAGGAGGGACTGGCAAAGAGGTGTAATGTCTTAGGTCCAATCCCGCCTGGCTCCTGGAACACCACCCAAGCTCACACCCTCTCTGGCATGGGTCAGCTTCTCCAGCTTTGTGGGTATATGCACCCTCCCCCGTGTGCCCACTGACACCTGAAGGAAGCTTACGAATGCTTACAAATCTCTTTTAACATCAAGAACATGACACAACTAAGACAAAGCACCCTGTATTGACCACCATTGATCCTGAAATAAAATGCTCACTGGACGAAAAGAGTAAAAGCTACTTTGATGCACAGCTCCAAGGAGATCAGAACATCATTTGCTTCTCAGACCATCCACGAATGCATTTCAAGCATCAAAATGTGTGTAATGCAAACAGAAGAAGAGGATAGTGTAATGCACTTTGAAATCTATTTGTATTCAGAAGTGTTACCCTTTTAATGTTTAGCAACTTCCACGACATGACTAGCATGCTACGCTGTTACATGGTAGAATGGGAGATTCATCGCCCTTTGCCTACTTAATTGATAAACTAAATACAAATCCTATACTAACTCCAATTAAAATAACTGAAAAATGTGTACCCTCCTATAAAAAAACTGCAGAAATATATGTAGCAGACAAACTGATTGAGTCAAATAATTTCAACTCAGATAAAAACATCTAAATGTCTAAACAGAACTAACTCTTAGGGTGTTTGGCTTTTTGTCCCACATCTGTACAGCCTCCTGGCCACTTCCCCTTCCCCCACATCAGGTGCCAGGTGCTCCCCTCACTCACAGGTTGCCCCCTTTGAGAGGATTCAGTCAAGTCAGGGGTCAGGAGCTACAGCCCACAGGCCAAATGCAGCTCACTTCCTGCATTTGTAAATGAGATGTTATAGAAACCCAGATGCACTTATTTTTTGTGCACCATCTATGGCTGCCCTTACCCCACAATGACAGGGTTGAGTAGTTGTGATACTTTATGGTGCACAGAGCCTAAAATATTTACTATCTGATCCTTTGTAGAAAAAGTTTGCTGGTTCCTGGATCAAGTCCTTCACATTACGGTGTAACAGTTTTATATGTTACTTTTCCAAATGTTACTTGGACTTTAGTAGGAGGTAATTTTTTTTTTTTTTTTTTTTACAAATAGTTTATTGTCAAATTAGTTTCCACATAACACCCAGTGCTCATCCCCACAAGTGCCCTCCTCCATGCCCATCCCTCCTCCCCCCCACATCCATCAGTCCTCAGTTTTTGTCAGCATTCAAGAGTCTCTCATGGTTTGCCTCTCTCCCTTTCCCCCACCATTTCCCCCCTTCTTCTCCCCCTTGTTCCTCCGTCAAGTTCCTCCTAATCCTCCTATACGTGCAAACATATGATATTTGTCCTTCTCTGCCTGACTTATTTCGCTCAGCATAACACCCTCAAGGTCCATCCATGTTGCTACACATGGCCAGATTTCATTGTTTCTCATTGCCATGTAGTATTCCATGGTATAGATAAACCACATCTTCTTGATCCATTCATCTGTTGATGGACACTTAGGCTCTTTCCATGTTTTAGCTATTGTGGAGAGTGCTGCTATGAACATTGGGGTACATGTGCTCCTATGCCTCAGCATTTCTGTATCCCTTGGGTAAATTCCTAGCAGTGCTATTGCTGGGTCATAGGGGAGTTCTATTGTTAGTTTCCTGAGGAACCTCCACACTGTTTTCCAGAGGGGCTGTACCAGTTTACATTCCCACCAACAGTGTAGGAGGGTGCCCGTTTCTCCACATCCTCGCCAGCATCTAGAGTTCTCTGATTTGCTCATTTTAGCCACTCTGACTGGCGTGAGGTGGTATCTCAGTGTGGTTTTGATTTGTATTTCCCTGATGAGGAGGGATGCTGAGCATCGTTTCATGTGTCTGTTGGCCATCTGGATGTCCTCTTTGGAGAAGTGTCTGTTCATGTCTTCTGCCCATTTCTTCACTGGGTTGTTTGTTTTTCGGGCGTGTAGTTTGGTGAGTTCCTTATAGATTCTGGATATTAACCCTTTATCTGATATGTCATTTGCAACTATCTTTTCCCATTCCGTTGGTTGCCTATTAATTTTCTGGGTTGTTTCCTTGGCTGTGCAGAAGCTTTTAATCTTGATGAGGTCCCAACAGTTTATTTTTGCTCTTGATTCCCTTGCTTTTGGGGATGTGTCAAGTAAGAAGTTGCTGCGGTGGAGGTCAAGGAGGTTGTTTCCTGCTTTCTCCTCTAGGGTGTTGATAGTTTCCTGTCTCACGTTCAGGTCCTTTATCCATTTTGAGTTGATTTTTGTGCATGGTGTGAGAAAATGATCTAGTTTCATTCTTCTGCATGTTGCTGTCCAGTTCTCCCAACACCATCTGTTAAAAAGGCTGTCTTTTTTCCATTGGATATTCTTTCCTGCTTTGTCAAAGATCAGTTGGCTGTATACTTTTGGGTCCACTTCTGAGTTCTCAATTCTGTTCCATTGGTCTATGTGTCTGTTTTTGTGCCAATACCATACTGTCTTGAGGATGACAGCTTTGTAGTAGAGGCTGAAGTCTGGGATGGTGATACCTCCCGTTTTGGTTTTATTTTTCAGTATTACTTTGGCTATTCGGGGTCTTTTGTGGTTCCATACAAATTTTTGGATAGTTTGTTCTAGTTTTGAGAAGTATGCTGGTGCAATTTTGATTGGAATTGCATTGAATGTGTAGAGTGCTTTAGGTAGTAATGACATCTTAACTATATTTATTCTTCCTATCCATGAGCATGGAATGTTTTTCCATTTCTTTGTGTCTTCTTCAATTTCCTTCATAAGTTTTCTATAGTTTTCATCATACAGATCTCTTGTATCCTTGGTTAGGTTTATTCCGAGGTATTTTATGGTTTTTTGTGCAATTGTGAATGGGATCAGTTTCTTGATTTCTCTTTCTGTTGCTTCATTATTGGTGTATAAAAATGCAACCGATTTCTGTACGTTGATTTTGTACCCTGCAACTTGGCTGAATTCTTGGATCAGTTCTAGTAGGCTTCTGGTGGAGTCTGTCGGGTTTTCTATGTAGAGTATCATGTCATCTGCGAAGAGTGAAAGTTTGACTTCCTCTTTGCCAATTCTGATGCCTTTGATTTCCTTTTGTTGTCTGATGGCTGATGCTAGGACTTCCAGCACTATGTTAAACAACAGTGGTGAGAGTGGACATCCCTGTCGTGTTCCTGATCTCAGGGGGAAAGCTCTCAGTTTTTCCCCGTTGAGGATGATGTTAGCTGAAGGCTTCTCATAGATGGCTTTGATGATGTTTAAGTAGGTTCCTTCTATCCCAACTTTCTCGAGAGTCTTTATTAAGAAGGGATGCTGTATTTTGTCAAATGCTTTTTCTGCATCTATTGACAGGATCATATGGTTTTTATCTTTTCTTTTATTGATATGATGGATCACATTGATTGATTTGCGAATGTTGAACCAGCCCTGTAACCCAGGAATGAATCCCACTTGATCTTGGTGGATGATTCTTTTGATATGCTGCTGGATTCGATTTGCAAGGATCTTGTTGAGAATTTTTGCATCCGTATTCATCAAGGATATTGGCCTATAGTTCTCTTTTTTTGTTGGATCTCTGTCTGGCTTGGGAATCAGAGTGATGCTGGCTTCATAAAATGAGTCCGGGAGTTTTCCTTCGACTTCTATTTTTTGGAATAGCTTGAGAAGAATTGGGATTAATTCTGTTTTAAATGTCTGGTAGAATTCCCCAGGGAAACCATCAGGTCCAGGGCTCTTATTTGTTGGGAGATTTTTGATCACTGATTCGATTTCTTCACTCGTTATGGGTCTGTTCAGGTTTTCTATTTCTTCCCGTGTGAATTTTGGTAGTGAGTGTGTGTTTAGGAATTTGTCCATTTCTTCTAAGTTGTCCAATTTGTTGGCATATAATTTTTCATAGTATTCCCTGATAATTGCTTGTATTTCTGAGGGGTTGGTTGTAATAAGTCCATTTTCATTCATAATTTTGTCTATTTGGGTGCTCTCTCTTTTCTTTTTGATAAGCCTGGCTAGAGGTTTGTCAATTTTGTTTACTTTTTCAAAAAACCAACTCTTGGTTTCATTGATCTGTTCAATTGTTTCTTTGGTCTCTATGTTGTTTATTTCTGCTCTAATTTTTACTATTTCTCTTCTTCTACTGGGTTTAGGGCGTTCTTGTTGCTCTGCCTCTAGCTCCTTTAGGTGAGCTGTTAGATTTTGGACTTGTGCTTTTTCTAATCTCTTGAAATAGGCCTGGAGAGCAATGTACTTTCCTCTTAGGACTGCCTTGGCCGCATCCCATAGATTTTGAATTGTTGTGTTTTCATTTTCATTTGTTTCCATATATTTTTTAATTTCCTCTCTAATTGCCTGATTGGCCCATTCATTCTTTAGAAGGGTGTTCTTTAACCTCCATGTTTTTGGCGGTTTTCCAGACTTCTT